CGACGCTCACACGTTTCATCAGAAAGACGCAAGAGGAAAGAGGACTTCTGCACAGCAGATCACACTTCACTTTGCTTTTTATAGACATGGCAGTGACACGGCAGGACACTTAAACCAGCTGAGGATTATCTAATTTTGTGTGCCAGGGATTGGAGTATGTTAGCATCTTATAGGTCTTGGGGGGATGGCTTATTATCAAGGTCAAGGAATATCTGGTAACTGAGGCAGAGAACGTTTCAGCCCCGTGGTGCAGCAAGTCTGACTGCCAGTTTTGTTTGTGTCGTGATGAAGGAGTGAAAACAGAGCTGTGTCAATAGCCTAGAAACTATCCTGGGAGTGACCTTGCACCTACTTCTGCCTTCTGGACAGGAAAAGGTTTATATCAAATCCTGGATCACAGCCAGCAACTCCGAAACGGCCGTGAAGAATACAGCCACCTTCTTTTTCCGACTGTGAAAACGAAGGAGAAGGTCAGCATTTCTGTTCAGCAGTTTAGGAGGACAAATTTAGTGGGGAAAAGCCTTAACTCCGTTTTCTGGGTAAGCTGAGTAAGGAAAAAGAAGAGCTTTAGCGGCTGCGACTGAAATGGGAGAAGAGAATGAAGAAACATCACAGCCAAGAAAGGATGGTGGGGCCACCGGTGGCCATCGGCATTTTAGAACAGACGAAAGCCTGTTGCTCTGAATCTGCCTAAGCCTGTCTTATAGATGTGTTACTTCTCATTTCCTCTGGAAGGTAAATCTATGTCTATACAAATATTAATTATTCTGAGCAAAACTGGTTTTCCTGTAAGTTTCTTGTCTTTTTGGAATATTCATAGAGGTGAGGAAAAAAAAAATCAAGATATTTTAATGAAAAGTTGATTAACTCTCCAATTTTTTAAATACTTCCTCCTGCCTCCCCAAAATTCCACCTCTGTTACCAGTAGACTGGGCCAACTCTGAAAGGCAGCAAACCTTTAATATGGGTTTCCCAGCCAGCATCTCATCGGAATCACATTTAAACGTTTTCACTCTAGGATACGATCGCCCCAAACCCTCATCGAATCAATGCTGCAGTGCCCTCTGTGTGAAACAACACGCCCAGAAAGATTCCATTTTTGCCCTGAAAAATCAGAAATAGTATATAAAATAATATGGAACATACAAATGCAGTAAAGGCAAAGAGGGAGGAGAAGGGAGGCCAAAGGCAAGAGTCAGAAATAGGATTTGGATCTGGAATAGGGTCTGGGCCACCTACACAATGGCTCCGACTCGTTTACAAAATAGTTGTAGCTTTACAGTAGATACGTGTTGGATGCTGTTAAATTTAGCCATGAACTTGGATAATTTTGCCTAAGTTGTATCAGGAACTGCCTGGAAAAGGGCTGAGAGGAGAAAAGTGCGGAGCCGCTGAAAAGCAGCAGCAGTCGAACCAGGACAGCGGGTGGTCGGTGTGGGAGAGGAGAGCTGGGAAGGACCTCAGGAACTGGAAGCCTGAGTTGGATGTAATGGAGAAAAAAGGTCAGAAATGTTTAGATTTTGTGAGGTTCTGCAAAACTCAGGTCTCCAGAAGGTGACCACAGCATCCAGGCTGCTGCAGCACCTTCTCAGATCCCCACGTCCTTGCAGCACGAGCAGAGATGCCCCTACGAGCCTGGACGTCTACTTTGGACACGGGTGTGTAGTGGCAGGACACGGGGCAATGGCTTTAAACTGGAAGAGGGGAGATTTCGATGGGATCTAAGGAAGAAATTCTTCCCTCTGAGGGTGGTGAGGCACTGGCACAGGTTGCCCAGAGAAGCTGTGGCTGCCCCATCCCTGGAAGTGTTCAAGGCCAGGTTGGATGGGGCTTTGGGCAACCTGGTGTAGTGGAGGGTGTCCCTGCCCATGGCAGGGGGGTTGGAACTGGATGGTCTTTGAGGTCCCTTCCAACCCAAACCGTTCCATGACTCTGTGATTTCTTTTGTCTCAAAACGCTGCCGGCTCCTTTGACGTGACTGCCTGTTTCACCTTCTCGCCGTTCCTTCACCGGATTGCGTAGGGAGACAGGGAAAGCAGGGAGTCAGGCAAGGCAGGGAGAGGTGGCAGGAACACCGGGGACGCCAGGAGAGAGGTGTGCCAGCTGCCACGCGAAGCCAGAGGGGACTGCTGATCTCCAGCCCAGAACAGCTCGGATCCCAGACCAGCTCGGATTTCAGCCCCGCTGCCACTCGGCGTTTGCTGAACGTTGCAGAAACCAAACAAACCCAGATTTAGAAACCAACGTTCTCGAGGCTGATTAAGAACAAAGCCAGGAGAAAGCAGTTCTCCTGAGCTGCGTTTTACCGTCGGCACACACGGAAAACTCGTCGTTCTTCCAACAGAGCGTCTGACGCCGGGTGCGCAGCACCGGGCACGGCCGAGTCCTGTCTCAACACACCCCTACAAGTGCTGCAGCGAAGGATCAGCTGCAGCTAGTGCTGGAATTAAGCTGGTTTCAGGTCAGCTACACCCAAACAGTGCCTTGCTAATGTTCTCCCTAATTATTAATCACATTTGGAAGCGCATTTCTAGCTACTGAATTAGCAGTGCAGGGAGAGGGAGCTCCGAGTAACGCTGGCACTAATGTTAAGCCACAGGTTTGAGGGATGATTTGCAGGCTCCCAGAAAGACACGGTGCTTCTGCAAGAAGAACTGGAGCTAACTCTGCAGAGAAAGCAAAACTTAGAGAGGGAACATGAGCATGGAAGGGGATATCAGCGATGGACAGAAGGGAACAAGGACATTCCAAAAGAGAAACACATCTGAGATTCTGCTTTTGATTTCGTCCCAAACATTTAGGCACAGCAGGAGAAGTGTAACGAGCGCTAAGGCACGCTGCAGTCTGGGTGCTATGAGAAAGACAGACCTTAGGATTCTTGGAGCGTACCCCACCTGGAATACTGCGTTCAGCTCTGGGGTCCCCAACACAAGAAGGACATGGAGCTGCTGGAGCGGGGCCAGAGGAGGCCACGGAGATGATGCGAGGGCTGGAGCACCTCTGCTCTGGAGACAGGCTGGGAGAGTTGGGGCTGTTCAGCCTGGAGAAGAGAAGGCTCCGGGGAGACCTTCCAGCACCTTCCAGTGCCTAAAGGGGCTACAGGAAAGCTGGAGAGGGGCTTTGGACAAGGGTGTGCAGTGACAGGACACGGAGCAATGGCTTTAAACTGGAAGAGGGGAGATTTCGATGGGATCTGAGGAAGAAATTCTTCCCTCTGAGGGTGGTGAGGCACTGGCACAGGTTGCCCAGAGAAGCTGTGGCTGCCCCATCCCTGGAAGTGTTCCAGGCCAGGTTGGATGGGGCTTTGGGCAACCTGGTGTAGTGGAAGGTGTCCCTGCCCATGGCAGGGGGGTTGGAACTGGATGATCTTTGAGGTCCCTTCCAACCCAAACCGTTCTGTGATTCTATGCCCAAGACTCCTCTGATGGAGGTCTCCACTTTCATCAGGAACAAGTTTCCAAGGCTTTAGGGAAAGGTAATATTATGTAAGCCAGGAAAAAAAATAATTATTTTTACAACACAAAAGAGCAAAGTCAGGTATTTTACCAGAGTGGTAAACGTATTTGTTAATTTAAAATAGTATTGTCTACTTCAGAGCTATTCAATCCCGCCTGTTTGTGTTCTGTTTAATCCAGCAAGCTGTCTCCAACTACATAAATGTTCCTCAGAGAGTTTGTTTGACAGGTCATACGGAGGGGAACCAACGTTCTGGCTTTTCTGGGAGTGGTAAAGAAACAGCCCAGCTGCTGCAGCACCCAGATGCTCAGCGACATCCACAGCAACGCTGTGGCTGGACAAGAACGGTATTTATACCTCAAAATATCTGAGGCACAAACCTCTTGCAGGTGTTTATGGCCACAAACCCAGCTGTGAAACAGCAAAAGCAATCCACAGCTTTCCTGTCTGAGGAACGATCGCTCCGATTCTGCTACTCCCTCCACGGAAGGACAGGTGGTTGGTACCTCTCAGGGAGGGGTCTCTGCTGCAAACTCCCTGATTTCAGCCTGATGGAGAAGATACAAATCGGAGCCAGAATGACAAGTTATGGCTTGTGTCTTTGGAATGAGGCACCTTACCTCACGTTAAAGCACAAAGAAGTGTGGAGTGAGCTCCGGCCACTTCCACGGACCCCAAAGGAGGAGAACAGCAACGTTCACTATTGTCTGCAGACAAACCAGTTAACACAAATGCCTAACTAGCACCGATGATGCAGCCACCAGTGCTGAAAATTACTCTCAGAGAGAGGAGAGGTATCAGAGAGATTCTCCCTGACTTGATCTGGAGGCCACCTCCTCCAACCCAAGCGCTGGCAGGCCAAAGGAGAAGTACTTTTGTTCCTGCTTTAAGGAACAGGCTCCGTTAAACCGAGACAATCCCGGAAAGGATGTCGCATACTTACTGTCAGGGCTGAGGATGGATGAGAAGAAATGCTGAGCAGTCTCATGGAGGCTTCCATCTGCTGGGGTGGAAGGAAGAAGTTGGGAATAACAACAGGATCAGATCTGAGCAGAGCTGGTAAGGAACAACCTTTGGCAGCGTGTAGTTGCACAGAGCTCCACAGGAGCTGCAGGTGTGGAATGAGTCTCATTAATTTTAATTAATATTCTATCGTTCTGAACACTTGGTTCTCCAACCTGGCCTCACAGAGCATGTGACACCACCTTGCTTGACCCTCACATATTTGTAGAGTACTTCATCCTGCAAAAATTGCAACACAACTTACTGAAATTAGAGACTTGGGGTTGTTCAGGCTGGAGAAGGCTCCAGGGAAACCTTCCAGCACCTTCCAGTACCTAAAGGGGGCCTACAAGAAAGCTGGAGAGAGGCTTTTGTCAAGGAAGTGGAGTTACAGGACAAGGAACAATGGCTTTAAACTGGAAGAGGGAAGATTTCCATGAGATCTAAGGAAGAAATTCTTCCCTCTGAGGGTGGTGAGGCACTGGCACAGGTTGCCCAGAGAAGCTGTGGCTGCCCCATCCCTGGCAGTGTTCAAGGCCAGGTTGGATGAGGCTTTGGGCAACCTGGTGTAGTGGAAGGTGTCCCTGCCCATGGCAGGGGGGTTGGAACTGGATGGTCTTTGAGGTTCCTTCCAACACAAACCATCCTATGATTCTATGAAACTGAATGTGAGATTTGGGATCCATGCAAGAAACATGGGAAAGCATTTTAAAAGCAAATTAAATTATGTTTCTTTCAATACAGAAGAAACACAAGAGCTATAATAGATGGAGAAAAACAACACGGGGAAAAAATGCAGGGAGGCCCGTTGAAACTACCCAAAATGAAATAACTCTCAGGGATCACAGAATATATTGGTTAAAAAATGTGAGGAAGTTATCGCTACGTTGTGGGAAACACGATGTAACAGAGTCCCTTAACACCTTCCCAGGTCACCAATTCTAGACCCAATTTACAGGGAAGAGTTCCACACAGGGAATTTCTCTTTCCTGAGGCCTGTGAGATTCTAACCAAGAAAGAGGACTCGTTCCTTGAATGCAATACGTGTTCAGGAAAAGAGAAAAGAAGGATACAAAGCAATTTTCGTTGTGACAGACTGTTGTGACTCTTCCAGTGGGTCTTCACTACTGCCATCAGATAAGCTTTGGCTCTTTCCTTCGGAGCCTGCTTGGGCTGATACACTCTTCACACAGTTCTCATCGGAACCACTTTCTTCCTCATCTTGACGATCTTCGTTGACATCCTCGCCGTCTTCCTCCTCCTCTCTTTCTGTGCTTTTTGGATTGGTCAAACCAACATCTGGTGGAAATTCCAGTAGTTCTTCAGAGGCTGCACGAAACTCCATGTTTTGCTCTACTGGTTTAGCGTTAAATGCTCTATCCCAGTCACAATTTCCATTTTCTACAGGGCCACGGGTTGTTCGATGCACTTCTGACAAATGAGTGGGCTGGAACAGCTCCTTCTCAATTGTTTCTGTGCCACTGTTCAAACTTGGAAAGCCTTCTGCTACTGCCCAAGGACTGCTCTCGTCTGCGTGGAGGCTAACACACGGGCTAAAGGTGGTGAGCACACTATGGTTGTCACCTTGTAGCGTGCTGGAGAAGGTGCTGCTCCGTCTGCTGTTTCCTCTTTGCAAACAGTCTATATCCACCGAGTGCTGATCTTCAGGCCCCAAGTCTGTGGGCTGCTGGTCAGCACCCAGCTCCACTTCAGACAGCACACTGGACCAGGGACTAGTTTTGTCCGTTACGGTCGTTATTTCATTAAGAGTTCGTGGTTCTATAACATCTTCTTCGTATTCTCCTTCGCTGTGTGGCTGGAGAGCAAAAGCACCTTCATCTTCCTGGACGTGGTCCACTGGCAAAGGATGCTCATCTTCAGGGACAGCTTGGTCTAGAAACTCGTGCAACATGTGTCTCTCAAACACAGATCTCCCGAAAGAGCAGGGCTGCTGCGTATCGCTGCAAACGCTGGGTGAGCCAAGCTCAAGTTGGCCTTGACATGCTCCAGTTCTGGCTTCTTCGTCCTTCTGGTTGGGTCTGTGTGTAGCACTTGGCTTTCTGCTGCTCTCTTGATGCACGTTCGAAGATTCTTTATTATTTTTAGTGATAGTCTGTAAGTCTGATTGACAGAAAACAGCATCAGTAAATGGACAGAGCAATGATTCACCTTTTATCTGATTTATTTGGGTTTTTTTGCAGAAAATCATATGTGTGTGAACGCTTAGGAGCTAAACATGCAGAGCTTTGTCAAACACTCTGCTGATGGGATCACATTCTGCTCTCTTTACCATTGACAAGGCCAGGAGAAGGACAGAAACGCTATGGAAAAAAGATTAAATTACTGAGAAATAACTAAAAATATCTACATCAATGTAAAGAAAAAAATGGACAGTGAAAATACTCTAATATACAGAGTACCCCTAAAGGAAACAGAAAAAATACCTGTTGCTTGGAGTGGCTGAAAACAGTTTGGACAGTTCAGATCACATGGGAAGAAGAAAGGAATAAATCCAGACTGAAAAGATGGATAATCTAGCCATCTTTTCCTCTCATAGCTTCCCCAGTTTTATGCAGGGGCCCAGCAGACACAGTTGCTACTGATACTCTCCAGTTCTCAGTTCAATTTAGCAACTCGAATCAAATGACAGACGATTGTTAATTAAATATTTGTAAAACAGAAATTCTCTCAAAACTATTTGCTCAGTTGTGGTGGTAAAATTGCAAAGTCTGAAAACAAAGAGCTGCCTGTGCTCCTAACACAGGCTCTCACAAAAGGTGATTGGATTAGGAGTCTAAAGATTAATCAAATCTATGCAATCCTGAAAATCTCTGGGGATTTTACGAATCCTTTAGAAAGCCACAATCACCTATTTTTGGTTCCTAGTTAGCAGATCCTGCTCGTTTCTCGCATTCTTTGAGAAATTAGTTCACCAGTAGTAAGTTAAATGGCAAACGATCGCTACTCCGAGGCAAGAGCAAAAGTCTTGCTGTAGGGTAATGGTGGAGGACTTTTGGAAAAGAAGAAGGAAGAGTTTGAGACAGATTGTAGAGGAGACCATGTAACCAAGCAGGAAAAACAAATAAAGATGAGAAGGGAAGCAAAAAGAGCAAAATTCTGGAGAAGAAGAAAAAAAAAAAGAGAAGATCAAGGTGGTGACGAGAAGAATGGCAAGTTGTGGTGTAACAGAAATGTGCCCTTCAACTCCAGCTCCTGGCAGCGCTGCCTCCCCAGAGGGAGGTAGATTCAGGTTGGATATTAGGAAAAAATTTTTTACCATGAGAGTTGTAGAACACTGGAACAGGTTGCCCAGAGAGGTGGTGGATGCTCCATCCCTGGAGACGTTCAAGGCCCGGTTGGATGAGGCCCTGAGCAACCTGATCTAGTTGGAGATATCCCTGTTCCTTGCAGGGGGGTTGGACTAGATGACCTTTGAAGGTCCCTTCCAGCCCTAACCATTCTATGATTCTATGATTCCTCGCCGTCTTGCTGCTCACAGCACCTCTCTGGCACGAGACGAGAGCAGCACGAAGGGTTAACACTGAATTAGCTGCAACCAGTGAGCAGGAGGGTGCCCAGAGCCGTTGGGAATGCCAGGAGAGTGAAAAAACCCCCATCTGGAAACGAGGTGTACAAAGAGATACGGGCTCCTTCCCTGTTCCGCCGCACTCCATGCTCATTAAGGATGGCATTCTGCGTCCGCCAGCACTAACGGGAGGGAAAATTAATTGCACCGATGCCTCTAAATGGGGAAGTGGATGGAATGTGATCCACGGAACAGAAGCTGCTTACTAGGAGCTCAAACAGCCTCATTTTAGCTATCCACTGTAGGGCATAAATTTCATCTAAAACAGGGATACGCCAATTCCTCTTAGCGAAGAGCCACAGACAGCTCAGTACCATTCCGTGGATTGCTTTTCCGCAGGATTCCCTTTTTCTACCGAACAGACACTGAAATTTAAGTTGAATTTTGGTTGTCTGAGAGGGCCTTAACTCCCACCTAACCATCCCTCTGAACGTTTCACTTCAACACTGCCGTCACTGATGGGAGTTCGAAATCTCTCCGAAGCGTTCTCCCAACGGACCAACGCCAGGAACTGGTCCCAATTATGTAAGGAACTGGAAGATACTTTAAGGCAGCTTCTGACAAAAGAAGTCCAAACCAAGTGGCAACTCACCGTTGATTAGGCTGCTGACCTGAGACACCAACTGACTCGATTTTTCCAAAAGATGGTGTGTGTTGGGATCCACTTCTCTGCTCATCAAGCTCCGGTGGTGGCTCTCCTGCTCCTCATGACTTGGTTTGGACGTGCTACCGTGGCTGAAGTCAGGAAAAGACCCGGTCAGCTTCTGACTGAAGTATCTTTGAACCTCATCCAGCTCACTCAAGTTTTTTCTGTAAGCAGTGGTGGGAAAGTTGGTAAGAGAACAAAAAGCCTGTGGTAGATTGGTTCTGTTTGAAGCGTTCCAGACAACAGCAGGTAAATATGCAAATGCAAAATTAAGGGTTAGCATCGAAAAATAAATCAGCAGTTAAGTGCTGACGTTGCTCTGTCTAAGCAAGAGGATAACACTCAAGAACAAATACCAAATTAGCCACGAAACTTAGGCTAGAAGTTAAAAAATTTTAAGAGCTAGTTTTAAACTTCCTTAATCAAAGGAGCGGGATAGAAGTCACAAAGGCAAGAATATTCATTGGCTTTAGGACTGAGCTTGATGAAAATCTGAGGATTTCTACCTGCTAAAGATCTAAGGATTTTATGATATATAGCTTGGGGTAGCAAGAATGACTCAGTTTCTTTCATTCCTATATTCCTACAGACAAAAAAATTCTAAAATTTATCCCTGATTTAAATCTAGACTCTAGTCAAAAGAAAAGTGCTTCTAGTAAGGAGAGAGGCATCCTGTTGGGAAAGGCCATCCTGCTGTGAAAATGCTTATGGGCTTGTTCTCGTGTGAGTGAAAACATCTCAAAGGACTATTGGCCTAATAGCGTGTGTTGTGTTACGGATGTGCGAAGATGGATAAAGCAAAGCGTTCAGTCCAGATCTGACACCACCACCGTGGCTGTCAGAGGCTCACAGCATTGCCAGGGCCTCAGTCCTAATGCAGGTTGGCCCCCGTGTTCCTGCTTTTCCAGTGTCTGACACCCCACTGACACCTTTTAATCACAGAATCATGGAACGGTTTGGGTTGGAAGGGACCTCAAAGGTCATCCAGTTCCAACCCCCTGCCATGGGCAGGGACACCCTCCACTACACCAGGTCGCCCAAAGCCTCATCCAACCTGGCCTGGAACACTGCCAGGGATGGGGCAGCCACAGCTCCTCTGGGCAACCTGTGCCAGTGCCTCACCACCCTCAGAGGGAAGAATTTCTTCCTCAGATCCCATCGAAATCTCCCCTCTTCCAGTTTAAAGCCATTGCCCCGTGTCCTGTCACTACACACCCTTGTCCAAAGCCCCTCTCCAGCTTTCCTGTAGCCCCTTTAGGTACTGGAAGTACCCTAATCCATCATTGTATATTTTAACTTTCATTTCCTTCTGAAATCCGATGCAAGAATTCTTCGGTTTCCAGCTCTGCTTTGCAAACCCAGGGCTCTGCATCACCTTGTTGGCCACAGCTCTGCTTTACCTGAGAGCAGTGAGAAGCGAAGCGCGTGACGACAGCGACAGCGCGTCCATCTTTGCCGCCCGGTGCGCGTTCCCCTCCGCCTGCTGCAGGGACTCGTGGAACCTGCGCACGTTCTGCATGTGCTCCTCGTGACGAGGCCTGTGTGCTCCAGGGAGACTAATCCTGCTAGAAACAGGCCTGTTTGACAACAGAAAACAGGCTGAAATCTCTAATTGTGAGAAGTCTGGCAAGAAAGAACATCCAACATCTTTAAACGCATTAAAGAGCCACCGACGGATGAAACTAGCTCGTTGAGAGTCATAGAATCACGGAATGGTTTGGGTTGGAAGGGACCTCAGAGATCACCCAGTTCCAACCCCCCTGCCATGGGCAGGGACACCTTCCACTACACCGGGTTGCCCAAAGCCTCAACCTTGATATAATCTTTCAGTTCAAAAA